CATTATAAACTTATGAACAAAAATAGATACAGAGGCAGAGCTGCCTCGAACAGACTGTCAAACTACAGCAGGAAGGCCAGGGAGGGCAGGAGGGGGGGGGTAAGAGATCAACTGAAGGACTTGTATGCATGCATATAAGCATCACCAATGGACATAAGACACTGGGGGGTAGGGGAGGCCAGGGGATTGTTAAGGACGGGGAAAAAAGGAGACATATGTAATACTCTTTGTAATACTTAAAGCAATAAAACACTTTAAAAAAGAAGAAAAAAAACCTAATATGCTAATTTCCAGTAGTCTGGTCGTCTGGTCAACCAATCAAAGCATAATATGCTAATGATATGCTAAGGTCGCTCAACTGCTCGCTATGACATGCACTGACCACGAGCCTGCAAATGCCCTGGTTGCAGGCTCCATCCCCAGTAGGGGGTGTGCAGGAGACAGCTGATAGATGCTTCTCCACTTGATCTTAGCCAAAAGGCCGACCGGTAGATTAGCTTGCTGTTGGGGTACAGCCGATTGGGACTGAGCAAGACAGGCCTTCCATGTCTCTCCCCGCCCCCGATCATGCACCAGTGAGGTCCCTGGGCCTGGCCTGTACCCTCTAGCAATTCGGGACCCCAAGTGGGATATCAGAGAGCTGGTTTCAGCCCAAGCCCACACAATGCAGGAGCTGCCTCTGTGCTAGGGATGTCCCTGTGAGGAGCGGGCCTAAGCCATCAGTCGGACATCCCCTGAGAGTTTCTGGACTGCAAGAGCACACAGGCTGGTCTGAGGGACCCTCCCCCCCTGAGTGCACAAATTTCATGCACCTAGGCCTCTAGTAGTTAACATATGGAAGCGACCTAGGTGTCCAGTGATAAATGAATGGATGAAGGTGTGGTATATATACAATGGAGTATTACTCAACAATAAAAAAATAAATCCTGCCATGTGTAACAATATGCATGGATTTAGAGGATATTATGCTAAGTGAAATAAGTCAGAGAAAGACAAATAACACCTAATTTCATATATATGTTGAATTTTTTAAAAATTAAAACAAATGAAGAAACAAAATAAAAATAAAGAACAAATTAATGGTTGTTGCCAAAAGGGAGGATTGGCACAGTGACGAATGATTACTAGACTTAGTGTGGTGATCACATTGTAATTATGATATATAAATGTCAACCACCTGAAACTAATATTTTATGCCAACTGTATTTTAACTTAAAAAGATGAACACAAATGGTCATAAATGAGCATAGAAAAGTAGTTTTCACAAGGAAAACTTTAAAACTTGTAGGAATTAAGAGTTATGTACAAAGTGTTAGCAAATTTTACTTTATTTTTTTTATCATTTTATTTTCAGGTTTAACTGAGCTGAATGACAGTCCAGTACCCCTGGAACTTGAGCGCTGCAAGTCTCCCACTTCAGGTAAACATGAGTGGTATTTTTCAGGCTTCTGCTAACTCACTGTCAAAATCTACTGCTTTATTTTCAGAATTCTTATAATGTAAGATTTGTTATTTTAGTAAAGTGTTATTTCAGTTTCTGTAATTAACCATAAGAAAATTTGATTCCAAAATTAAATAGAAATAAATGTTTGTAAAAATATTTTGGCTTCTTGAAAAATTAACATCAGAGATATTAGTGCAATACTTTTAAAGACATTTTAACCTGGCTGGTGTGGCTCACTGGTTGAGCATCGACCATGAAGTCATGGTTCAATTCCTGGTCAGGGCAAATGCCCTGGTTGCAGGCTCCATCCCCAGTAGGGGGTGTGCAGGAGACAGCTGATAGATGCTTCTCCACTTGATCTTAGCCAAAAGGCCGAGAAACGATGATGATAGATGCTTCTCTCTCTTCATTGATGCTTCTATCTCTCTCTCCTTCTCCCTTCATCTCTTTGATAGTATAGGACTTTCAATTTTGTTTTTGTGGTTCATTTTAAAGAATGTTATAGTTCTTCTTGGTCTTTTGTGTTAGCTTTTTGAAACAATTAGTTTGCACACAAACAAATATGTTGTATAGTGATTGCAATTTCATTGGATCTATAGATTAATTGTGCAAAATTAGCATTCGACAGTATTGAATTTTCTACCCGGTATCTCTCCGTTTATCCCTTCTTTACTTTCTTTACATTCAGAAATATTTTTAGTCTTCTTTGTAGAGGTCTTGCACACCTTTCATTGGATTTAATCCTTTGTATTTAATTTTTTATATTGTAAATTTTAAGATTTATTTTTTATTTTTTTGGCTAGAATATAAAAATACAATTAATTTTTTCCACATTATTCTTAATGGCATTTTTAAAATATATTTCACAGAAGATTACAAGCATTCCACACACTAGGTTCACCTATGTATTCCTGCAATCAGTGAAACATTCCCCATAGGTAATGCATAGATTAGTCTATGACATAATATATCATCAATACATTTGTATCTCTCTTTTGTTTTTGCTCAATCCCTCCCCCCCCTAAGCCCCCCCACATCAGAGCTGTCTGCCTGCTCTCTCTGAGTCTTTCTCTATTTTGCATGTTAGTTCAGTTTGTTCATTAAATTCCACATATGAATGAAATCATATGGTAATTGTCTTTCTCTGACTGGCTTAGTGTATTTAGCGTAATGTTTTCTAGGTCCATCCTAATTTTTATACATTAAATTTATATCCAGGAAACTTGATAAATTTATTTAACTCCAATAACTTGTAAATTCTTTTGAATTACCTATGCATCTGATTATACCCTCTGTTAAAATGACAGTTCTATTTCTTCTTTCTAAAGGAAGAAATTAGCTAGAACCCCCAATACAATGTTGAATAGATATAGTGTTAGCAAACACGTTTTCCTTATTCTCAATCTCAGGGATAAGTCTTACAGTATTTCATAATTATGGTAATTGCTGTGGTTTCTAGTTAGACATCTTGCTTTTAGCCCTCTATGCCTATGATATTCCTTCTTTTTTTATTATTCATTTTTTAGAGGGAGAGAGAGAAACATCGATTTGTTGTTCCACTTATTTATGCATTCATTGATTGGTTCTTGTATGTGCCCTGAGGGAAGATTGAACTCATAGCCTTGGTGTATTGAGACAATGCTACCAATTGATCTACCCGGCCAGGGTTGGTGTTTCTTCTTTTATTAATGTTAGAGCAGTTCTGGAAACACCACCATCACATTTTTAATTTTATTTATTTATTTTTTTTGGCAGACTCAGAGGAATTTGCATGCAATCAACTAGATTGCTCCAAAGCAGAAAGATTTTGAATACATTTGAATTCTGTTAGTTGGGATAGCAATGATTGACTAATAAAATTAATTCATCATTTCAGTGGCTTGAGACTGGTTTGCTGGTCAGGTTCTGCTCTTCTTTCATAGCAACTTTAAACTATAAATAATCCTAATTGAGGAATTAAGAGATTTTTTTCTTTTAAAAGCTTTTTCATCATTATATATTATATTTGTTATAATATGTGAAGTATATTTTTCTGGGTAAAGTGCCCACAGAGTTTAATTTATCTTATTTAATATTGAAAATAATCAATATTTGTTTGTGTCATTCATTTACCATGAAAAAGAAAAATAAGTGTGTATATGAAGGGGTCTTTTTAAGTCCACAAAGGCGAATGTGTCCAATACTGTTTCCAGAATACCATAGCAACACATACACATAAAACTACATTCTACAATCTCTTGCTATCGTTATAGGACTTACTGCATCCAATCTAGATTATCAGGAAAAACATGGGATAAATGCAGACTTTTTAGCCCAGTCTCATACAACTAAAGTATAACTATGAAAAAAGCAAATTTAAGACTTTAACAGTCGTCTACAAAACTCATGAAGCTTATCTCTAGAGGTAGAAAAGAATGAAAATATAAACAATTAAAATGTTTAAATGACTTATGAATGATATGTATATATGTAATGATATGTATATAAATATGTATATATATACATATATATGTAATTAAGAGAAACTAGAATATTTGTAATACATTCTAACTTTTGAAAAAATAAGAAAAGCAGCATCCTAACAAGTCTCCTTGATTTATACACTAATAAACAACTCATTAGGTCTGACTAATAATAATTTTGTTTGTTCCTGGGTATATATCCCCTTTATATGCATACATAGTATTTAAGAGCCAAAATTTTTCTTCACTTGTTTCCTAATGAAGTAGTTCTGAAACTTAACTCTATGTCAGAATTTTGTACAGTTTGTTAAAACACAGATTGCTGAATGCCAGAGCTGGATTCCAATTCAGTAAGTCTAGAGTGGGCCTGAGACTTTGCCTTTCTAACAAGTTCTAATGGTCTTTGAACCACTTGAGAACCATGGCTTTGTAAAATTTGTTTAAATATTACTTTTTTCAGTAGTTATTTGACCTCTTGGTATCTATTTTGGGTTCTCAGACCCTCATCCCTGTGCTAAAAACAGATTAAAACATTGACACACATATATCTGAGTAAGAAAGGTTGGAAATTACAGAAGCTGGAAACCAGTAATCATTTTATAACTCTGATTTTCTACATGGATCTCAAACTTCTGCCCAATAAACTACAAGTAAAGTAGAGTGAGGTTTCAGACTATTAAATATATTCTTTAGGATAATGTGAGAGAACAGAGTAGGAATTAGGAGCTGAAAGAATCCCAGTGAGCCAACCAGAAAGCTGATGTTCTCAGCTTCCAGGAAAATGTAGTCATTTCATATTTAATTATTCACCAACTATTCAACAAATATTCTCCAGCATCTATACTTAGATAAGATGCTTTTAACTGAGAATAAACTAATGAACAAAATAAACACTCCATGCCAAATGGAACTGACAGTATATCTACAGAAACCAACATTAAACTAATAATTTTACAAATTGTTAGTTGTTTTTTCTTAAAACTGTAATCCTTCTTCTCTTACCAGGTAAGATCGTGGGCAGTTTGTTTACTACATAAACATACCTCTCAAAGGGGTGAGCAGGAGCTAACATTCGGCCCTTGGCAAAGAATTACAATCCCCTAGACTGGAAACAATACCTTTTTCTTTGGACAAAGAGTTGAAAGCTAATGAAGCCTTCAACTGTAGGGTTATGTCTGTTCACAGGTGTGAATTTTTCTACTTTGTCTTCCTTGAAGCTGTGCCTTTAAAAATCATTTGCTCAGATGAATATCTTTTTGTAGACTGGCATTAGGTCCTAATACTGCTGCTACCTATACAGTCATCCATCCTCATCATTCTCACCATCCACAATATACAATAGACTTCTTATACTATCAAGTTCAAGTGAGGGTTAGGGCAATATTTGTCTTTATAAAATATATTTATTTAGGCATCTTTAATAAAGATATATTTATTAAAATATCATGGGGGCGAATGTCTCAAAATACTAATAAGGAAGTAACCAGGTCTGTTCTCAAATATGAGTTATAACTAGTTCTTAGAGCCTGTTCTGAATGCTCCTTCTGTGTGATTCTATACACCTGGAATTCCATTCTACCCTCCAAAGAAGAAACCTTCTTCCCTTTAAACAAGTCTTCTGTTGGGGCAGTACCAAAATACACAGATAAAGGCATAAAACAGAGACCCTTCTACATAGTTACCACAAAAGTTGCCTCTAAGGTAAAAATTCTTGGTTCAGTTGGACTAAGAAATTACATGCCAAAAGTTTTTTATTCCTTTTCTTTAGGACTTCCTACCAGAACTCCCGAGACAGCACCTGGCTTTTATAGGAATGAAATACCAGCTGTGAGACAGAGGAATCAAGTACATCATTTGCCAGGTGAAAGTGAAAATCTCTTTCATAAACAAACAAGTTATTCCTACCACCATAATTTTCTAGACTTCACAATTTGTATCAAAAGCTTTATTCTTATTTGTTGTGCTGGAACACAGATCCCTCGTGGTGAATGAAGACAAATTTCCCCGATGCAATGGTTAACACTGACTTCATGAATAGAAAGCAGAACCCTTAAGGGTTTTGTTAACAATTTTGAAATGTTCCATAGAATTTTGTTTTCTACTCTACACCTAAATTATTTTATCAGGCCTATAAGAAAATATGGAGGGGCCAACATAGAATTCAGGGAAAACTTAAGGGCCAAGAAATAAAGTGGTTTTATAAAAATTTTCTATAATTCTTCATAATAAAATGAAATATTTTCTATGATCAGAAACAACTATGATGATTACGGGAACTACATGAAAGAACTGCCTCAAAGGAACAATGTTCTCTCAAAAATAGTGAGCAGAAAGTTAGGTCCTATAATCTGAATTTTATGTAGTTATTGGATATTTAATGGTGCTCATAGGGGCCAAATCACAAGCAAACTCAAGTTATGCAGCTTCCTTAATTAGGAAACTATTACAGAGTGGTTGTGACCAGATCTGCAACTTTAAAAACCATGAATTATCAATACTCTAAACCCTAAATAA